CTTGAACTCCTGAGCTCAGGTGATCTGCCCGCTTCAGCCTCCCAAAGTGCTGGGATTATAGGTGTGAGCCACCGTGCCTGGTCTTTTGTTTTTTGGTTTTTGTTTTTAGGTTTGCCAGGAAAAAAATGGAGATCAGGCAGAGGGAAGGAAGATCTTGGGAGTGTCCTGGGCCTGGTGGACGGGTGTGAGGAGGAGCCAGATGAATGGTTTTGATGAGGGCCGTGAGCCGGGGGGCCTGGCTCTGCACCTTTCGTGACTATGTGTAGCCTGGAGTTGGAGACAGGACCTGCCCCTATATCTGTGCCATGTACCACCTGGTGCAGTAAACTGAACTCCTGAGGCTATGTCCTCAGCTCTTGCGACCTTATCCCTGACTGCCCTCACCCCAGGCAGGTAGTCCCTCGCTTGGCCCAGGCTTTCTGCAGAAGGACTTGGCTGAGCTGCTGTCCCAGGAGGGACCGTGGCAGCCACTTATGGGGAGTGTGGTGGCTGAGTGCACACTGGGGTTGGAAATCACCTCTCAGGAGCGTGGTGGCCTGCAGGGGCCGAGGAAGCTCCGGAATGGCTCTGTGGCAAAGCTGTTGTGTTCAAAGAGGACTAGCAGTCCCACTGCAGTGCAGCATGGTGGCAAGTGTGCAGATCCATGCTCGGTCCAGCCCCAGCGAAGTCTGTCAGGGCCCCATGCATAGAGGTGGCTATGAATGCAAACTAAAGATGAATCTAAAATTCAGATGATTAAAAAAAAATAAAAAAAAACAAGCCTGGTGCAGTGGCTTATGCCATTCCCCTAAATGTTTTTGGAGATTCCCCCTTCTCCTGTCTCAGACTATATTCCCTTCCCGCAAACCAATTCCTGTGGCCTGGGGCTGCTTAGCTGGGACGGGCCAGTCTCAGGATATTTGCCCACTCCTGAACCTGGGAAATGGGGTGATCCCACTCAAACCACAAACAAGCCAAGGAAATCAGGAGCAGAACTGTGTTTTGAAGAACGACAAGGAGTTCTATTTCAGAAGGTTAAATTCAAAGTGCTTGGAAATTGACAAAAAAATGGATTGGGAAGTTGCAAATTAGAGCCCGGGAATCGTGTTTTGAGTTAGAGAAGTGGAAAGCAGAGGATTGGGGTTTGAGGCCCCGGAATTGCCATGCATGAGGGTGGAGAACTGACTTTCAAATGCAATGCCTGAAGGGGGCCAAGTATATTTGTCAGGAAGGCAGAATATAATCTTTAGCTGGCATCTCATCACCTCAGTCATCACAGAAGAAAGAAAACAAACCTATGGACCGGGTGTGGTGGCTCACAACTGTAATCCCAGCACTTTGGGAGGCTGAGGCGGGCAGATCATGAGGTCAGGAGTTCGAGAACAGCCTGGCCAACATGGTGAAAACCCACCTCTACTAAAAACACAAAAATTAGCAGGTCGTTGGTGGCAGGCACCTATAGTCAAGGCTACTGAGGAGGCTGAGGACAAGGCTCACTTGAACCAGGAGGTCGAGGCTGTAGTGAGCTACGACAGTGCCACTGAACTCCAGCCTGGGCAACACAGTGAGACCCTATCTCAAAAAAATCAAATAAAATACAATGAGGACAATAATACTACCTACCTCTCATGGTGATGTGAAGATTAAGCGGATTCATGTACACAAAGTGCTTCAAATAAGCCTGGAATGGAGAACACGTTCTATAAACATGAGCCGATGCTGTTACTATTCCCAGGACAACTTCCCAATTAAATACAACCCCTCAGCTTGTTTCTGCCGCCAACCTGGGTTTGCCCAAGGGCCCTTCTCCAGCCCAATCTGGAATGCCCTCAGCCCATTTAAAACCAATCTCCCGGTAAGCCCAGTCCCCAAAGGACCTTCCCTAGGACGTCCACCACCTCCTAGACGTGGGGATTTGTGCCAGGACAGGAGCGCTTTTTTCTGAGCCCCACAGGGCCCCGTGCCTCCCCCAAGGAATTTACCACATTCCAGCTGGCATTCCAGCTATTTGTTTTCTCCTGCCTCACCTCTCGGGGTGGTTTCTGGCCTCCTCCCTCCTCCCCCTTGCCCAAGCTCTGTCTTCAGCCCTTTTTGTACCTTCCTCCCACCTCTACTTAGCCAAGTCCTACTCCTGTTTAAGACGAAGCTCAGGGTCCCCCAGACCCAACAGCGCCCGGCGCAAGCTGGTGGACTTGATGATACCAGGGCCAGGAGGAAGAAGGAGAGCAGGAGAGAGCAGGAGAGCAGGAGAGACTACAGGGGAGCCAGGGGAGGAAAAAGGACCGGGAAGGAGGGAAGAGGGAGCTCTGGGGGCCGGATCTTCCCCGTTACCTTCCCCTCACCCCTGCAGGGGCAGGGCAGTGTGGCCCACCGGATTCCTTTGGGCATGGAATGCCCTTGCTCACCGTCCCCACCAGAGAACCCTCCAAAGTCACTTTCCCCACTCAGCACTCTGCCCTCGAGGAACCTCAGCACTCTTGGCCACCTCATCCTAGGGTGTTTACCACATACTACCATTTGTGGTCCTGGGACTCCTACCCGCTTCCCTATATCCTTACTCCCAGTATCAGCACGTTTGCCTCCTGTCAGCCCGTGCAGGGACCACGAGAGGGAAAAGGCACACCACATGTGCTTCGGCACAACCCACTCCCCAAGCTTAGCGCCAGGCCCACACATCTATTATCTCATGTGATCCCCGTAAGAATTGCCCAGAGTCTAGGCGCAGTGGTTCATGCCTGTAATCCCAGCACTTTGGGAGGCCAAGGCAGGCAGATCACTTGAGGCCAGGAGACCAGCCTGGCTAACATGGTGAAACCCCATCTCTACTAAAAATACAAAAATTAGCCAGATGTGGTGGCACACGCCTATAATCCCAGTGACTCGAGAGGCTGAGGCAGGAGAATCACTTGAACCTAGGAGATGGATGCTGCAGTGAGCTGAGATCACGCCACTACATTCCAGCTTGGTGACAGAGTGAGACTCCATTTCAAGAAAATACAAGTAGGCCAGGTGCAGTGGCTCACACCTGTAATCCCAGCACTTTGGGAGGCCGAGGCAGGTGGATCACGAGGTCAAGAGATCGAGACCATCCTGGTCAACATGGTGAAACCCCGTCTCTACTAAAAATACAAAAAACTAGTTGGGCGTGGTGGCGCGTGTCTGTAATCCCAGCTACTCAGGAGGCTGAGGCAGGAGAATTGCCTGAGCCCAGGAGGCGGAGGTTGCAGTGAGCCGAGATCGCGCCATTGCACTCCAGCCTGGGTAACAAGAGCGAAACTCCACCTCAAAAAAAAGAAAATACAAGTAAAAAAAAAATAATAATAATTGCACAGAGAAGGTGGTCTTGACCCTATTTTATGATGAGGAAAGATGAGGCTCAAGGAGCTTAAGTAACTTTCCCAAGTTTCGGCAGCTGGGCCCCAGACCCACCCCATCTCTGCATTGTCTCCCTGCTCACCCGCTGCCTATCAGACCCGGCCTGCATCACCCAGGCAGAGCGCCTGTTATACAAACAAACGAGATGGCCAGTATCCGGACATCTCCCGCCTGCAGGGACAGGCCAGGGTGAGTTTAAGCCCCAGGGAAGTGCATCTCAGAGCCTGTCCCACAGCCATCTCAGGTTCCCTCTGAGACTGTCCCACACCCAGCCCTTTCCTTTCCCTTCTCTACTGACTCCCCGCATTTGCTCCCAGTAGATACAGCACTTGGTGCCAAGGCTTTCCTTTATCCCCAGGACAGCCAGGCCAGTGGGGCATAGAAGAAATAGCATGGTATGGATCCAAGCCCCATCAAGTGTACCCACCTGAGTTTCTTGTTGTTCTTCTGAGATGGCTGGAGTGCAGTGGTGCGATCTTGGCTCACTGCAACCTCCGCCTCCTGGGTTCAAGCCAGATTCTCCTGCCTCAGCCTCCCAAGTAGCTTGGACCACAGGCATGCACCACCACTCCCGACTAAATTTTGCATTTTTAGTAGCGATGGGGTTTCACTATGTTGGCCAGGCTGGTCTCAAACGCCTGACTTAGGTGATCTGCCTGCCTGGCCTCCTAAAGTGCTAGGATTACAGGTGTGAGCCCACATCCAGCCTTCCTTTTTTTTTTTTTTTTTTTTTTTTTTTTTTGAGAGAGAGAGTGAGAGAGAGTCTCTCTCCATTGCCCAGGCTGGAGTGCAGTGGTGCCAACTTGGCTCACTGTACTCTCTACTTCCTGGGTTCAAGCAATCCTCCCACCTTAGCCTCCCAAGTAGCGGGGGACCACAGGCATGTCCCACCATGTCCGGCTAATTTTTTGTATTTTTTGTAGTGATGGGTGGCTCACGCCTATAATCCCAGCATTTTGGAAGGCCGAGGTGGGCGGATTACTTGAAGTCAAGAGTTTGAGAACAGCTTGGCCAACATGGTGAAACCCTGTCTCTCCTACCCCGGCATGATGGCATACACCTGTAGTCCCAGCTACTCGGGTGACTGAGGCACAAGAATCACTTGAACCTGGGAGGCCAAGGTTGTAGTGAGTGGAGATCGTGCCACTGCACTCCAGCCTGGGCGATAGAGCAAGACTCAATCTCAAAAAAAATAAAAAGATGGGGTTTCACCACATTACCCAGGCTGGTCTCAAACTCCTGGACTCAAGTTTGCTAACCTCAGCCTCCCAAAGTGCTGGGATACAGACATGAGCCACTGTGCCTGGCCCTCCACCTGAGTTCTGAATATCATCACCTTTCAGAGCCTTGGTTTTCCCACTGGTCAGTGGGGATGTAATTCCTGCCCTTGCCCACCTCGAAATGTGTAGGAGTCTATAAAGAGGAAATAGCATGTGATAAAATGTACAACTGAAAACACTGGACTGTAATAAAATGTTACACAAATGTAAGGGATTCCAAGTTGGTTGTAACATGGGCATTAAACTGTAACTTCTCAAAGATATTGACCATAAAACTTACAGAGCCATGGGGGAAAAAATCAAGAAGTGTGTGTGCTCCTGAGCCCTAACTTCTTTTATTTATTTATTTTTTTTTTTTTTAATCAGTCTCCGTAGAGACTGTCAAAAATTGCCAGTGCCGACTGTACTGCAAGTTGTCACAGTGGGGTGTTGGGAAAAGTTTTCAATTAGCATTAATCACGCCTTGGATAAACCTCATTGGCTACGATACTGCCACTTCATAAAGCTGAGCCTTAACTTCTATGGGCGATTTTTTTTCTCTGCATTTTTATTTCTCTACATTTTCTTCCCCCCACCCTTTTTCTTTCTTTCTTTTTTTTTTTTTTTTTTTAGACAGAGGCTCACTCTTGTTGCCCAGTCTGGAATGCAATGGCACGATCTCAGCTCACCGCAACCTCCACCTCCTGGGTTCAAGCGATTCTCCTGCCTCGGCCTCCCGAGTAGCTGAGATTACAGGAGGCATGCACCACCATGCCCAGCTAATTTTTGTATTTTCAGTAGAGACGGGGTTTCTCCATGTTGGTCAGGCTGGTCTCGAACTCTCCATCTCAGGTGATCCGCCCGTCTCAGCCTCCCAAAGTGCTGGGATTACAGGCGTGAGCCACCGCAGCTGGCCTTCTGTAAATTTTCTGCACTAATCACGTTACTTAAACTTCAAGTAGCTGGTATTCTATTATTTGCAGCCAAAATCACTCCTCACTTATATAATGCCCCAAACTGAACTCTTCATTCATCCTTCCTAGGTCTGCTCCTCCCCTGAGTTTCCTATCCATAAGGAGCACTCCTGCCCACCAAGCCATCCTGGACTTCTCCCAGCCTCATGCCCACGGCTCAGCTCTCACACCCACCTCTGTCCTCTGCCCCCCACCTATTTGCCACTATTCTGCTCCCCCCATCTCCTCCAGGGACAGGAGTTGGAGGGAGCAGAGGACAGGGAGCTGAGCCGTGGGTGGGAGTGCCACTGTATTCCAGCCTGGGCAACAGAGCAAGAAACCGTCTCAAAAAACACAAACAAAAAAAAAATTAGCTGGGCTTGATGGCCTGCGCCAGTAGTCCAATTATTTGGAAGGCTGAGGTGGGAGGATCGCTTGAGGCCGGGAAGTGGGCCTGAGGCTCCCCACCTCAAGGTTGAGGAGTAGCAGAGGAGGAGCGAGCAGGGGGCGCAGACGCAGACGGATTAGTGGCTCTTGGCCCGAGGCACCCCTGCTGGAACTCCTGCAACTCAGGCCTAACCAGCCCTCTACCTCTGGGCTCCCTTCCCCACCTCATTCTATTCCCCACAGTGATTTTTCTAAAATACAAATCTCATTATGTTTCCTGCTTAACCAACTATGGGCTCCGGAGTAACCTTCAAAATCCTTAGCATGGCCCCCACACTGTCTGTCTCATCTCCTGCCACTCCCACAGACACATTCTATAATGATTTTTTAAGAGGCAGGGTCAGCCAGGCGCGGTGGCTCAAGCCTGTAATCCCAGCACTTTGGGAGGCTGAGGCGGGTGGATCACGAGGTCAAGAGATCGAGACCATCCTGGTCAACATGGTGAAACCCCGTCTCTACTAAAAATACAAAAAATTAGCTGGGCATGGTGGCGCGTGCCTGTAATCCCAGCTACTCAGGAGGCTGAGGCAGGAGAATTGCCTGAACCGGCAATTCAGGCGGAGGTTGCGGTGAGCCGAGATCGCGCCATTGCACTCCAGCCTGGGTAACAAGAGCAAAACTCTGTCTCAAAAAAAAAAAAAAAAAAAAAGAGGCAGGGTCTTACCATGTTGCCCAGGCTGCACTTGAACTCTTGCGCTCAAGTGATCATGCCTCAGCCTCCCAAGTAGTTGGGACTATGGGTGCACACCATCACACCCAGCTATTCTCCAGAGTATTCACTGCACAAGCTCTCTCTCTACCTGTTCTTTGTTCCCTCCTCCCTGAATGGGGATACCTACTTATTCTCCAAAACCCATTTCAAATAGATCCTCTTCTGTGAAGCACTCCCCACCCCAGATAAACATTCCTTCCTCTATGAGTCCATACTTGTTATACTACTTATACCTCTATTACACTCCTTATCATGTATTCTAATTACACAGTTGCCAGAATTATACATTCTTTAGGACAAGGATGTATTTCAGCATCCCCAGTGCCTCCCAGTATAGTGTTTATCTTAAATGGTTACTAAATTTCCGGTGGAAAAGGCCCCAGTATAAAGCACCTTCTGGCTGGGCGTGGTGGCTCACGCCTGTAATCCCAGCACTTTGGGAGGCCAAGGTGTGTGGATCACCTGAGGTCAGGAGTTTGAGACCAGCCTGACCAACATGGCAAAACCCCGTCTCTACTAAAAATATAAAAATTAGCCAGGTGTGGTGACACACCCCTGTAATCCCAGCTACTCAGGAGGCTGGGGCACAAGAATCTCTTGAACCCAGGAGGCGGGGATTGGAGTGAGCCTAGATCATGCCACTGCACTCCAGCCTGGCAAGAGAGTAAGACCTTGTTTAAAAAAAATGAACAAATAAATAAAAATAAAGCATCTTCTGCTGCTTTTGTGCAGAAACTGAGTCCCATCCTTCTGAGCTTCTGCTCTTCTCATCTCCCTCCCACTCCCCATCCTACCCAACTTCCTCTTCCCTGCAGTGGACTTCCAGGGAAATCTACCTTCTCCCACAGAGTCTGGTGCCTCCCGAGTGGGATGTGGAGTGGAAAATTTACCGAATATGTCTGGGGGAGTGGCAGGAGATGAGACAGAGGTGGTGTGGGGGCCATGTTGCCAAGGGCTGTAAGTGCAATGCTAAAGGATTTTGAAATTACCCTATAGCCCTTAAGTAGAAACAGATCTTTTAGGTTATAGTCACCTCCATCCTCAATAAGATCACTGGACTAGCATCAAAAGATCTGGCTTTGGTTTGGCAATATCAAAAGCTTTTTCACACATCCGTATGCCCAAACGTAAGCCGGTTCAGAGTAGATGCTCCATGAGTGTTTGTTGTTAAAGGGTTATTCCTAAGTTCTTTTTTTTAATTATTATTTTTATTTTTAAGAAGGAGGTCTCACCATGTTGGTTAGGCTGGTCTTGAACTCCCAACATCAGGTGATCGGCCCGTCTTGGCCTCCAAAGCACTTGGATTACAGGTGTGAGCCACCACCCCTGCCCTCTAAGTTCTTTTTTAGAGACTGTCTAGCTCTGTCACCCAGGTGGCAGTGTAGAGGCACAGCCATAGCTCACTGTAATCTCAAACTCCCAGATTCCAGCGATCCTCCTGCCTTAGCCTCCAGAGTAACATGCCGTATGTACCCTGGCTAACTTCTTCTTCTTTTTTTTTTAAATTTCCTCCTCCTCCTCCTCCTTCCTGGCTAACTTCTTATTCTTATTATTTTGTGTAGAGATAGGTTCTCAAAATGTCACCCAGACTGATCTCTAATTCCTGGCCTCACAAGATCCTCTCAGCTCAGCCTTCCAATAGTCCTAAGTTTTTTGTTTTGGTTTTTTTTTTGAGATGGGGTCTAGCTCTGTTGCCCAGGCTGGAGTGCAGTGGCACGATCTCAGCTCACTGCAACCTCCACCTCCAGGGTTCAAGCAATTCTCCTGCCTCAGCCTCCCGAGTAGCTGGGATTACAGACGCCCACCACCACGGCCAGCTAATTTTTTTCTGCATTTTTTTAGTAGAGACGGGGTTTCACTGTTGGCCAGGCTGGTCTCAAATTCCTTATCTCCTGATCTGCCCGCCTCGGCCTCCCAAAGCGCTGGGATTACAAGTGTGAGCCACCGTGCCCAGTCTCCAGTAGTCCTAAATTCTACGAGCCAATCAACCCAACTGCTCAGCAACTGAGGGATGTTTGAGTGTGCATGGATATGTTTATTTATTTCTGTCCTGCTTTCCCTGCAGTGGCAAACTCTGAAATACTCACCTAATGAAGCATTACACTGCCTTAAAAACATTGCTTACAAAGAGTTTATAACACGGAAAATGTCTTCCGTTGTAAAGGAAAAAAAGCAGCACACAATTGAAATGAGTCATATCACATTGTCTAAAAGCAAGCAAAGAAAATCTCCCCAGCAAAGGCTGGCAGGGCAGGGAGACCAAGGCTAACAGTAGCCGGTGGTTCTCCCCTCCCTTTATCCTCCTGTTTTGTTGGTCAGGCTGGTCTCGAACTCCTGACCTCAGGTAATCCACCCGCCTTGGCCGCCCAAATTGCTGGGATTACAGGCATGAGCCACCACGTCTGGCCCCAACTTTGATTTTTTTTAAAACGGAGTCTCACTCTGTCGTCCAGGCTGGAGTGCAGTGGTGAGATCTCGGCTCAATGTAACCTCCACCTCCAAGGTTCCAGTGACTCTCCTGCCTCAGCCTCCGGAGTAGCTGGGGATCACAGATGCCTGCCATTACAACCATCTAGTTTTTGTCTTTTTCATAGAGAAGGGGTTTTACCATGTTGGCCAGGCTGGTCTCTAACTCCTGACCTCAAGTGATCTACCCACCTGGGCCTCCCAGAGCTTGGATTACAGGCATGAGCCACCGCGCCCAGCATATTTTCCAACTTCTGAAAAATGTGTGCACATTACTAATAAAGTGGAGAAGTGTATACTTTATGTTGCAAAAATGACCTTGAGTAAGTAAGGAGGAGGTTGCTCTCAGTCCAGCTTCTGTTCCTCCCCCTGCTGCCCCACCTCATTGCCCAGAGATGCCCTCTGGGGCTGAGCCAGGTTTTACTTGCCCCAGGGCCTCCAAGCCCTGGCCTTCTCCACCCTAAACCACAGGGCGCTCAACAAAGGATTTGCAATCCAGTAGCTGCACCTGTTTCCAACTAGAAACGCTGCCTCCAGGCAGCCAGGGCCTCCCCAAAGGCCTCAGAGAGTTAACTCTGCCCGCCCCCAGGAATTCCCAGAAAGGACTCACAGAGGAATTTCCCAGACGTGCAGACAGACAGATAGACAGACACTTCAGGCAGCTCTCGACACTAAGCACAGATGTTTGCCTGCGGGTGATGTGCTGGTAGCCGACACAGGCACACAACTTTGCGGTGAGAGGTAGCACAGAGCAACAACGGAGAAAAGACCCACTGGGCAGGCTGGGGCTGGCATGAGGAAAGGGCTGGGAGGGGGCCCCAGAGTGGGTCAGCAGATGAAGTCTGCAGGCGCAGAAGTCCCTACGCTGTCTCTGTCTGAATGGCACAGTGCCTGCAACTCTCCCTAGGCATAGCAGGCGTGGCAGGGCCTCCAGGAGGGGTCAGGGCAGC